GCAAGTGTTCGCTATTTGTATTATGTACATTAGAAAATATACCAGCTAGAGTTCGCTATTTGTATTATGTACATTAGATATTACACCAGCTAGGGTTCGCTATTTGTATTTAGTACATTAGAAAATACACCAGCTAGGATTCGCTATTTGTATTATGTACATTAGAAAATATACCAGCTAGGGCTCGCTATTTGTAATATGTACATTAGAAAATACACCAGCTAGGGTTAGCTATTTGTATTATGTACATTAGAAAATATACCAGCAAGTGTTCCCTATTTGTATTATATACATTAGAAAATAAACCAGCTAGGGTTCGCTATTTGTATTATGTACATTAGAAAATATACCAGCTAGGGTTCGCTATTTGTATTATGTACATTAGAAAATATACCAGCTAGGGTTTGCTATTTGTATTATGTACATTAGAAAATATACCAGCTAGAGTTCGCTATTTGTATTATGTACATTAGCTAGGGTTCGCTATTTGTATTATTTACATTAGAAAATACACCAGCTAGGGTTATCTATTTGTATTATGTACACTAGAAAATATACCAGCTAGGGTTCCCTATTTGTAATATGTACATTAGAAAATATACCAGCTAGGGTTAGCTATTTGTATTTATACATTAGAAATATACCAGCAAGTGTTCGCTATTTGTATTATGTACATTAGAAAATATACCAGCTAGGGTTCCCTATTTGTATTATGTACATTAGAAAATATACCAGCTAGGGTTCCCTATTTGTATATAGTATATTAGAAAGTATTTCTTTCTATTTAAAAAATTTAAAATTTCGTTAATGCTCTAACTTGACCGGATTCTTAAAAAAAATTTTATCTTGGAGAATTGAACACTTTAAAAAGATAATTTTCGAAGGACGAGGATTTCGAGGTGGCTCGGACGAGAAAATGAGGAGAATGTGGCTCGGACTAGAAATTGTTGTGGCTGGCCTTCCTCCCCTCGTTGACCCTTTTCCAATTCTTGAGAGATTTGTTTCTTCTCCATGAAGGTTGAATACAAACTCAAGATATGGTTTCCAAATCTGTTTTCAGTTCTGGATGTGCTTCCAGGATGACTGATGTATCAATGTATATTTTATCAATGTTTACATTTTGCCGGTTTTTAGGAATATCCGGCTCCTTCCGGTGCACCTTACGCATATGCGTATACAAGGATCCACTTTGCGTAAAGCACTGTCCACAATCTTCACAATAAAGTTTTTTTGAACTTGATATTCCTTGGTGTATGATCTTAATGTGCTTACGCAAAGAATTCTTACTTTTAAACACTTTTCCACAATCAACACATTCAGTTTCTTGATTGCTTTGAAGGTTCATGTGCATAGTTTTCATGTGTCTTTTGAAATTAGGCTTTCGAAAAAATTCCCGGTCACAGAATGTACATTTGAACTCTTTAATTTGTTCATGGACAGATTTAATATGCTCTTTCAAATGAGCTTTCTGAGTAAACACTTTCTTGCATATATCACAATGTGCAGATTTATGATTCTTTAATCCAAGATGGTGAACTTTAATATGATTTGACAGATTTTTAAATTCTTTCCCGCATTCTGGGCAGACAGACGCAGTCTGTGCACAGCTGTTAATCCTGCTGAGATAGTACTTGGTTCTCCTCCGTCTGGATCTGTCCTGACGACAGCAGTACGCACACCAGGCATCTGTGCGTACATCTGCGTCATAATCATCATTTCTAGAAGTTTCTACGCAGTCAGGATGAAAACAACAATCGCAGATTGTACAACTAAAAAAAATGTTTGTGTCATTTAGAAATATATTCTCCAGCAATTAGGCTATTAGTGGACATGGGAAGACAGTGGACATGGGAAGACGACATTGAAGCAACCTTAGGTAACTGCAAAAATACTCTGCTTCATGTTTATTGGAGTATTCAAAATCATAACTTGAGTCTAACCATTGCCTTCCTTCCACAATTTTAAAGGTCTCGCTGTATACTCCTGTCCTGTTAAGATCTGTCCTGTCAAGATCTGTCTCGTCAAGATCTGTCCTGTCTATATATGTCCTGTCTATATATGTCCTGCATATATCTGTTCAGTCTATATCTGTCCTGTCTATATCTGTTCAGTCTATATCTGTCCTGTCTATATCTGTCCTGTCTATATCTGTCCTGTCAAGATCTGTCCTGACTATATCTGTCCTGTCTATATCTGTCCTGTCTATATCTGTCCTGTCTATATCTGTCAAGTCAAGATCTGTCCTGACTATATCTGCCCTGTCTATATCTGTCAAGTCCATATCTGTCCTGTCTATATCTGTCCTGTCTATATCTGTCCTGTCTATATCTGTCCTGTCTATATCTGTCCTGCCTATATCTGTCCTGCCTATATCTGTCCTGTCTATATCTGTCCCGTCTATATCTGTCCTGACTATATCTGTCCTGCCTATATCTGTCCTGTCTATATCTGTCCTGTCTATATCTGTCCTGTCTATATCTGTCCTGTCTATATCTGTCCTGTCTATATCTGTCCTGTCTATATCTGTCCTGACTATATCTGTCCTGCCTATATCTGTCCTGTCTATATCTGTCCCGTCTATTTCTGTCCCGTCTATATCTGTCCCGTCTATATCTGTCCCGTCTATATCTGTCCCGTCTATATCTGTCCTGTCTATATCTGTCCTGTCTATATCTGTCCTGTCTATATCTGTCCTGTCTATATCTGTCCTGCCTATATCTGTTCTGTCTATATCTGTCCTGCCTATATCTGTCCTGTCTATATCTGTCCTGTCTACATCTGTCCTGTCTATATCTGTCCTGTCTATATCTGTCCTGTCTATATCTGTCCTGTCTATATCTGTCCCGTCTATATCTGTCCTGTCTATATCTGTACCTGGATCTAGGTTCAGTTTCCTCTAACCCTTGTTTACAAACAAAACAAAGTGTTTTAAATATCTCCTTGTGTTGTAACTCCAGGTGGTTCTGTAACACTAGAAAATAAAAATGCTTTAAAAACTTTACGGGATTTAAAAACACATTTTAGTCACCTTCCATTAAAAAGTGCTATAAACACTTCACATTTTATGAAATATCTAAAATAATGATATTTCAATTTTTGCCTAGAAAATTAAAACTGTCGTTAACTATTTATTAGAAAACCAACGCCATTTTTTGTAATTTTTAAGTTTAGAGCGTGTTTTTCCGTAAAACGTTGATAGAACTCTTTAACCTTTAGAAAGGATAAATTACACTAAAAAAATTCGCAACATTTAGAGTGAGTGTAGAACCATAAAATCCGCCACAAATAATATCTTATTCTATAAAATCCGTAATAATTAGTATCTTAGTTCATTAATTGCGAAGTCTAGATAAAAGTCAATTAATATTACGTTGACCAGCCAATATATCATAAGTATTCTATGAAAAAGAACCAGTATCATAATCAACTAGCTTGGGAACCCAGCTTTGCAGGGAAACTAATTTTTCATTTTAAAGATAAACCCACTCAGAGTTCCCAAATCAAAATTTAAAGCAAATCGGTGAAGGGGTTCATGAGTTATGAACGAAAATATAAAACATACACACAAGCAAACAGACAATAGAAATAACTACTTGATACATTTAGATTATAGATAGATAGATGGTAACCTGAAAGCCCGGTGACTGAAGTTTTAAAGAATTTTTTACACAAATTACAGAAAGTTCCTCCACTGTCTCCCTCCAACCCTGGAGATATGAAACTCAAGGCCCAGGAATATCTTCCTGTAAACTCCAAGGACGGGTTCAATGGAAATGTTTCATCCTAAATATTAAAGGGACTGTAAACGTATTTTATTGAGCGGCATGTCCGATTCACAACGGTAACTTTAACACCTTTATTGTCTACACTTCATAAGTCCAAAACTCACTTTAACAAGCCAATTTTCAGCTAGAAATTCAAGGATATCTCATTTATCCTTGAATAGAAAAAGGTTTAAAGGGTACCGTTGTGACTCAGGCATGCCCTCAATAAATGACGGGTTACATGAAATTACGTATGCATGTACACATGTGTACAGTGTACATGTACATGTACACTGTGTACATGTACATGTACACTGTACACTGTACACTGTGTACATGTGTACAGTGTACAGTGTATATACAGTCTATTTGGGAATAAAAAATGTAAAAAACCATTTCACGAATTATTAAAACTTTCAAAATTGAATCAATAATCCAGAAAATTCGCTATTCGATGAATTCATGAAAAGGGTAAATTGTTTTCAAATTTTTTACATAATTCAAATACGATATTTCTCATTAAAATTTAACATTTAAAATATGGGTAAACTTTTTTTTAAAATAGGAGAAAAACTACCTGAAGCTCTGGGTGTTTTGTCTTGAGATGTCGGATCATACTCGTGGTGCAACCCTTCCTCGTCTTAATCTCCTTCCCACACTCCTTGCAGCAGGCCGACTCCTTAAAGGAGTCCGTCGGTTCAAAATATTTCCAAATCTGGGATCTAACCTTCCCTCGTTTTACTTTCGATAAATCTTGGTTCTGTTCTGCTTCCTGATCAAGTAATCTTTCATTCAATCCTAAAATAAGATATATATATATTTATCGAATTTTACAAATTTCGACAAAATTGTTTTTTTTTTAAATTATCAGAATCGGGAACAGTCGACAGAAGAAAAAGAAATAAAGGAAGAAGGAGAGAAACGATGACAAGAATAATTTAGTAAGAAGTTTTCTGTATTAACTGAACATCCAATTTATAAAATTAAAAATTGAAAAATAATAGATTGTTAAAAATATTCATCGAATTTCAAATAGTAAAGTCATCGGTATCAGAGAATAAAATAATTTCTGGGGCCGAAATTAATGAATTATAGAGCTGTCGCTAAACTACCTACCACTGATTCAAATCCTGAATCCCCGCTTCAAAAATTTTAGATTTATGGGATTTGAATCGGTGATTCTAAAGATTTAGGATTTGAACCGGCAGTAGATATTTCAACTATTCCTCAAATTTATCAAATTAGAATTAGTTCTAATATTTTTACAAGCTTAAATTAGCAAGAACTAAATGTATTTGCTCACTATTATCTGATGAGGAAGATGGTTCAAAATTCTCTGAATTTATCCAGTTCCCGTCTAACTCTGGTTCCACTAGCATAAAATCACAGCTCTCATCCCCACCTTGAGACACGGTTTCATCCTTCTCCTCCTGGTTTACTTGATCACAGTATCCCAGGACGGAGTTAAGATCGGTTTTAAACTCCTGAACAGAGTGGGACGGAAGGAGAATGGTTTGAACTCCAGAATACCGGATAAATCTAGATTCTAACTCCGGGTACAGGAAACACAAGAGCATGGAGTTAATGCTCAGGTTTCCGTCTGAACAGATGATCTGGGTGTCGGAGTAGAGAGTGGAGTACATCAGAACAGAACAGGTTTCCTGAAATATTATTAAATAGCTCGGGAACCCAGCTTTGTCTGGGGTTCAACCCGCTCAACTTAGAATATTTAAACCAGGCTAAGAAGATTCCTGTGGTTTTACCAAGTTCCCCAATCAAAATTTGAGGCAAATCAGTCCAAGGTTTCATGAGTTATGATCGGACATCTAAAGAAACAAACCACCAGACAGAGATTCTTACTTTATATACGTTTTACAATGGTTTTCCACGTATTGTAAATGATACCGAGTAAGCCAAGGTTGAAGTTAATTTAGCTAAAGGGGAAGGATAACATACATCATTTATTCTGTTTAAAAATTTCAAGCTCTAATTTTGATCTAAAAAAGTAATGATAAAACATACATTTTAACAAAAAACAGTGTCATTTTCAACATTTTTTTTTGGAAGAATCTGTTTTAACAATAATATGAAGGATTTCAAAAAATTTATTTCTAACCTGTATCTCAGAAATATGGGATTCAGATGCGCATAATTTCACTTTATCATCCTCCATTTTTTTCTGAAATTTTAACTACTTCTAAAATATTTGTTATATTCACTGATATAATTAAATTATATTATATAATGTGTACAATAAAAAACAAAAACAAACAAACTTCCACGGATTATCTTTTTTTCGTGGATTTTTAAATTTAACAAAAATCAAACAAATTTTTAAAACTCTGATCAATTATATACCTTTCCTGGGGTCATGTAAGGTCCCACAAAAAATTTGGTTCAGTCGTTTAATGGATAAAAACAGACAAGCAAAGTATATATATAGATTTCTAGGATGGTTTAAGTTCTGGATAAACTTCTCCGATCAGGGTTGGATCGACGAAGAAGCGAACCTTACTGTGGTTCGACTTGTTCCTGCTCACCTCCGGTTCCGTTCCGTGTGCCTTCCTCATATGTATAAACAAAGAACCTCGTTGCGTAAACTGTTTCCCGCATTCCTCACAGCAAGCCCGGTCATCTGTTTTAATTCCTTGGTGCACTGTACGCAGGTGTTTTTTTATCGTGCTTTTTAGCATTTCTTTCCCGCATTCGGGGCATGCAACTTGGCCCTCGACACGTAGATTCATGTGCATGATTTTAACATGTCTTTTCAACTGTGTTCTATTGTAAAATCCTCGTTCACAGAATTTACAGTGAAACCGGATTAATTTCTGATGTACCATCTTCAAGTGTTCGTTTAGATTACATTTTCTTTTAAACTGCCGTTTACATATATCACATTGTACCGGGGGTTCCGTCAGTTCTCCAAGATGGAATCGTTTGATATGTCTGTTCAAGTCTTTGATCTCTTTTCCACATTCTGGGCACACTGTACTGCTAGACTTGTCCCGCATCACACTCACAGGACCAGGCTAATCTTTAATCTTTTAAAAAATGGATCAAAACTTAAACATTGCTTTTCTGCAAAAAATATAATATTTTCCTAAACTAGATCAAAGACGGAAGCAGCAAAAAAAAAAAACCAAAATTCTCTTCATCTCTCTAATTTGTGTGATAATCGTACGAAAAATAAAATGAAAATCTATTTACATTTTTTGATTTTGGTCTTAATCCATAATTTCACAGTACCCATTTTGTATAAAAATCAAGTGCCTCAGCAAATCTTTGAAAATGTAAATAAAGTTTAAAAAAATTAACTAATAGAAATAGACACTCCTGAAATTCTCGATTTAAAAAAATCAAGATCTGCTTTTCCTAGCGCATATTGGACACCAATCATCATCATCAGCTGATTCAGACTTCGCGCATTTTCCGTGAAACCTGCTCCCGCATTCCGAGCAAGTTTCCAGATCTTCCTCTTCATCCTCCACAGGGAGCTGACAGGGGAAGCAGGTCCGTTTAAACATCTCTAGGTGGTTCATCACCATATGATTGATTAATTCTAAAAAAACGAAAAACTAACAACATCAAAAGGCGAACAAACGAAAGCTTAACAAAGTTAACAAAAAATATAATTCTTTAAAACAAAAACAACAAAATTTGACAGCAAAGGAATGGTATTCACTCACTGTTTGAGGATGAATCGTAGGATTCGTGTCCGCATTCTTGACAGGAATACTTCACACGCTGGTTTTCGTCTTCGGAGTGTTGGTACCAGGAGGACATATCGGGGGATCTAAATATTCATTATTTATTTATTTAGAATCTTTAAATTTACTTAACAGACGCCAACCCTTCCCCACCCTGAAATAAACATTAACTTTACTTTTCGATTTTTTCAGGCGAATTTAATTTTAAAAAAAGAGATAATAACCCTGCAAATCGTCCAAGTTTCATTTGTTACTCTATCTTCGATGTACGCAATAACTATTAAAAAAAAACTTAATGACAAAGCTATTTAATAGGGTTAGTCTAGAGATGTCAACGTTTTGATTTTTCTAGATTTTAGCTTTCGTTACGATAGTGTTCATCAAAAGTATTAACGTTTGAAACGTTACGTTGCACATTATGAAATTTTACAGTATAGAGTAACGTTACGTAATGAATTTTCTGACCTTGAATACCTTATACAACGTTAAGCTTTAGTAAATGTTATTGAAAAAACAGTAAG